TTGGGACTTTTTGGTTCAAATCCATTAGAAATATGCTGGCTGTTTTAACAAATGGTCAAGCTCTTTCACGAACCTCTCCATAGCAGGAACCGGCAAGCTAATTGCCACAACGGTTCCCGTCTCTCCTTTTTTATTCTTGAACGGTACGTAGAAGCTCACTCCGGGGAAAACCGCGATACCGGCCTTAGCGGTTCCACCGTACACCGGCTTGCCCCATGGCCCAAAATCAACTTTTCCGAAATCAAAATGTCTCAAATCCGACACTATGTAGTTTCCAGCCGTCACAAACATGGGCCGGCCTCTAGTTGTCATTAAGGCCGTCACTGACCGAACGTAGTCCTCTGTCACGCTCGACTTCGCCTCTTGTATCAACCTCAGAGCAAACTCAAGCGGTTTTTCCATCAGATCTCTAGCGGTGGCTATCGCCACAGGGATGACAAAAACGTTTCCATAGTAACCTTGTGGTAGCGGTGGGTTGCTAAGTTTCGCACGCGAGTTAACGATGCATGTCATTCGCATCTCGGTGTTAGGATCAGGATTCAATGCAACAGTCCGACAACGCCACAAAAATGAAGTCAACGCTTCAAAAGTAGTATTATGGAGATTGGGTGGGAGAAGACTCCGTATAGCGGAAAATTCTCCCGGTCCAAAAAAGAAAGACCGACTAACCAAAGGGACACCGATAGGTACCGCATCTATATCGACCTTGTTTTCATACTCGCGGTGCATGTGGGTCACACTCGCGGAGACATTCGCAATCAGCAAATGTCGGTCCCACACGGGTGGAACCGAGGGCGCGCGTAACCCACATGCCAACTCGCAAAGTGATTTCAAAAAGAGGGACAGACCGGCTCCATCGGTCATGGTGTGGTTGAAACGGAGTGCAAAGATAAACCCGCCACATTGCAGGCGCGTGACCTACACGCAAGCCCTTTGATACTCAACTAACTTCTGAAGACAATAATAGTTGGAAAGATAAAAGATGTCACATTTGATTTGATATACCTGGACAAGAAGCAAAGGAGTGTTAAGCAACTCACTCGAACCCTCGACATCAAAGAGAAGCTCTTCAAGGCAAGGAAAAGGAGGGAGAAGAGCATCAGCTTCCTCCAACTCAGCAAACGCCACGTCCGCATCGGCTTCGATGAACAGAACGCCTTCTCCGGTACAGTCCACGGCGAGTTTCCGGTTTGGTCCTTCACGGAGCCTACCAGCGAACGGGTAATAGTAAACCAGCGTCTCGGCAAGAGCTTTCTTGATCACTTGGACGGGGTCATGATTACTTGTAACGTTTGGTCTATAGAAAAAGATAACCGGAATTTGAAACCTAAGTCCCTGTTGATCGTCTATGTCGGAAAGAGGCTTGAGCTCTCGTGGTGTTGGCTTAGCCGGAGTGACTAGCTCCGGCTGATGGCGATGAACCTTGAACGAGAGACCGGTGGTGGTGGATGGTAGAAGAGATACTTGATGGTCCATGGTGTTTAGACTTTGAAGATAGACTTGTACCATAAAACAATTCAACCACATAATATATAATACTAGAAATTGTCTACGATTTTATGTCATGACACCATTTTTTTTTATGTTATGATTCTTTTTATTAAAACTGTTTGTGACTTTTTGTTTTAAACCGTAGTTACCTATCTAAATTTTTAAATATTTTTGTATAGTGCATTGCTGGATTTAATAAATAAAATATCTATTTTTTAAACGGTTAAAAATTCACAATATCACATTTAATTTAATATGATAAGTTTTTGTAGATATCAAAACAAAACAAAAAGATAATTGTGGGATTGTAATTTGTGGGAATTAATTGGTTATTAAAAGACACTTAATTTTCTTTTTTTTCAATAAATAAATAAAAAAAACAAATGTCAAAATAATAGATGACACATGGCATTTTCTCATAATTTTGGTTTAGAAAAACCTTAAAATATTATATAAGATATAAACATCTAGTATTTGGATATATTAAAAGTTGTTACTTTGGTATTGTGATACTTTCGTTTTTTTGTTAACTATTTTTTGGTATAATGAATTTTCATTGGACATTTAAATCGCACATTGAAAACAAGTTTCGCATCTGAACCTTAAACATTGCTATTTAAATCGGATATACGATTTGACTTTCTAAAAAAATGTATTTTTTCTTTGTTTTTTTCAGTTGGGCAGAATGTTTTCTTTCTATCCTTTTTTTTTTTGGGGGGGGTGATATTCTATTGTCATACGAAAAAAATGCCACTTTCTTTTTTAGTACACCAGTTAGATATTTTTCATTGTATATCATCACAGCTAATACAAGTATATTGATTGGATTTGGCTGAATGTATTCATCGCAAAGGACACTTACTAGATAAGACTTCTTTTTAGTTGGAAAAAGTAGCTCAACACTCCTTAATCCAACTTCAACCTTCCACATCAAATTAAGGACAAGGAGGAAGAAGAGCAAACTTAGACCAACGGTTTCCGATTTGCACCTTGCCGGATCGAGCCTACCATCAAACGGATAATAGTAAAACCAGCGTGCCTTGATCACTACGACCG